GCACCCTACTGGTCTAGCAACGTCAAGAGAATTTGTAGGCCTCTTGATGAAGGTTGCTCCCAACACACAAACGTTGTGTGTTGCTGCTCTAGGTAATGAGGTCTCACTCATTACCTTGAAACTCGAAGTGACGAATAAGTTGTCCCTTCGAGCTCTAGTCGATTGTGGGGCGTCCAACAATTTTGTGCGACGCCAATCGCTAGAAGATGGTCACTTTAAATTCAGTGAATGTGACACACCTCCTACGAGGATGACGGTACGTCTTGCGACAGGCGCATCCGTAACCGTCATGAAGCGTATAGTGAAGATCCACTATACGCTAGAAGATACCCAATATGACGATGACTTTATCGTATTGGATTTAAATGACAAATTCGATGTCATCCTTGGAATACCGTGGCTCAGAAGGTACGAACCACGAGTAAACTGGCAACATCGAACAGTAACGATGCCTATCGCTTGTTCATCAGATGGCCATCTGATGAACGTTTTGGAGCGTCCACAAGCGTGTGGATGTACTACGAGTGAGTGCGATGGCCTCACTTGTGGTACGGTCGTTATTACGACTGCACAAAACCTTAGTGTAACAAACGGTTACACTTCGGAGCAAAGTTCCGGCGGCTGTGAGGAAACACAGGCTGCGCCGAAGGTCCACCACTCGAATAAGTCGAGTGGACCGGAACAAAGATGTATCCCTAGCGGGGAACATCTAGAAGAGAAACAATCGGTCGCTCAGGTTAAGCGAAACGATAATCCTAGATCGACTGGAGAGTCTTTCGTAGAGGATCTCGCTGTGGTTGCGCAACCCCAGCTAGAGGAAGTAAAGGGAATAAGTCCCAAGATTACAAATACGGCGGAAATAAGTTCCCCGAAACCCGCGGGAATAAGTCCCCGGGAAGACAAAGGAATAAGTCCTTCGAAGCCTGAGGGAATAAGTCCCCAGGAAATGACAGAGACATTGAATGTCATAGTCAATAACGGATCAAGTGTAGGCGCTTATACACTTGATCTGATTGCGCCTCCGAAGTTAACTTCGGAGATCACTCAGTTGCCAAAGCTCGAACATAAAAGGTTCTTGCGTGATCTGCGTAGTGGCAAAGTCAAGCAGATCTGCATACTCGTCGCTGACGACGAGTGTGTAACCGACATAAGGTCAGCAACAGTGTTTACTGAGAACGAGAGAGTTCTCAGTAGTTCATCTATGGACGAGAGTGTCCTAGATGAAAAGACACGAATTGAGCGATATGACTCCCAATCATGGGAATCGCTCAAGGAAAATCCTCTCTATGAAGATTTGGTTGAATTCAAGGATGTATTCCCTGAAACTGTTCCGTGCGAATTACCGAAGGATAAAGGTATTCGACACGAGGTCGAGCTTAAACCAGGCTCGAAGTACTGTGTCATGAAGCAGTGGCCACTGCCTCGTGAACAAGTACTTGCGATCGACAAGTTCTTTGCCGTTCGTTTAGCTGCGGGCCATGTGAGGGAATCAACTTCCCCACATAGCTCTCCGACCTTCTGTGTGCGAAAAGCAACAGGAGGGTGGCGGATAGTGCACGCGTTCAACAAATTGAACGCTGCAACGGTACCGGCTCAGACGCCGATACCGAGGAAGGACGTAATCATTGATGGTATGTCAAAGAGTACCATCTTTTCGTCCATGGATTTGATGGATGGCTTCTATCAAATCCTTATGCGGGAACGGGATATACCCTATACCGCAGTTAGCACGCCTAGCGGCATGCTCTGGGAATGGCTAGTAATGCCACTAGGGCTTAGTAAAGCCCCTGTCACGTTCAACAGATATGTATTACATCTGTTGAGACCAGTGCGAGAATTCGCGCCGAGTTATTTCGATGACGTATTCATCCATAGTCGGGCTATGATAGGAAAGTCGGATGTTGAGGTTCACAGGTACCACTTCCGACAGGTTCTTACAATCATGCGAAAGCATCAATTGTATGCCAATCTCAAGAAGTGTATATTTGCAGCAAGCGAAATACCTCTTCTTGGGTGCATCGTTGGTAAGAACGGTGTACGTCCTGATCCCGAAAAGATCAAGGCGATCACCGACTGGCCTGTGCCGGTCGATGTCAAAGGTCTTCGAAAATTCCTTGGGCTAGCGGCGTATTTGCATAAGTATTCACGCAATTACGCCGAGATGACTGTGCACCTCTCTCGTTTGTTGAAAAAGAACGAGAGGTGGTTATGGAACGCTGAATGTCAACGCTCCTTTGAGGGTATCAAGCAGAGCTTGATACAATCCCCAGTCCTAGCAATAGTCGATCAGGACAGGCCATTTCATGTGGTTTGTGATGCCAGCGATTTCGCAATCGGCTGTGCATTAATGCAGTACGATGTTGAAGGCGTTGAACGCGTCGTCTGCTATCAGTCGCGTCAGCTGCAACCAACTGAGCGGAACTATCCAGTGCATGACAAGGAACTCCTTGCCATGAAGTATGCACTCGCGAAGTTCAGAGTCTATCTATGAGGAGATAGACCCTTCATTGTTTACACGGACCATACGTCATTACGCACGGCAGTGAACAGCCCGCACCTTTCACAACGAATGGCGCGGTGGTTGTCATTCTTTGCAGAATACAACTTTACGGTCGAGTACAAACCAGGACGACTTAATGTCGTCGCTGATGCACTCTCACGTCGTCCCGACTTTGAAACAGTCGCGAAACCCAACAGTGAGACAGTCACTGTTGCGGTTATGACGTACTCAGTCCCATCTACAACGTTGTATGATGATGTGAGGCGGGCATACGCCCAAGATGGTGAGATTGTGAAGTTGTTGACACATCTCTCCCAACCATCCCGAGAATCGTTGAAACGATTGTCGCCTGCGTATCGATCTGCATCAGATCGATACACTACTCGTAACGGTTTACTGTACTATACAGCCGTTTCTGGTGACACACCACGTGTTGTCATTCCAGATTATACTGATCTGCGTTTGCGGATCATGTTCGAGTATCACGATGCTCCTGTAGAAGGACATCGTGGCCGAGAGATAACATATCTCACGGTGAGTCGAGGCTTTAACGGGCCCCGCCAGTATCAGTTTGTGCGCAAGTACATTCGCGCATGCGAAGTCTGTCAGCGAGTGAAGTCAAGTCCTTCACTGCGTGCACGTTTACAGCCTCTACCGGTTCCGGCTGAGTGCTGGGAATCCATCTCAATGGATTTCGTCTTCGGGTTACCCAAAGACGCACGCGGGAATACGGGTATTCTCGTATTTGTTGACAGATTCAGCAAAATGGTACACCTTGTGGCTGTACCAGAGACAATCACGGCAAGTGGCTGTGCTTGTGTCTTTATTGACACCATCTTCCGACTTCATGGGTTGCCCCGTGAACTCGTATCAGACAGAGATCCACGATTCACTGCTGATTTCTGGCGTTCCGTGTTCAAATCACTCGGAACGCGCTTGAAGATGTCAACATCTGATCATCCAGAGTCAGATGGTCAGACGGAACGTGCCAATCGCGTCCTCGAAGAGATACTACGAGGATACGTACACTCCTTTAAGAGTTGGAGTGAGTTTTTGCCAATGGTAGAGTTTGCCATTAACAACTCGGTGCATGCGTCCACGACACATACACCGCTTTACGTGAATGGCTTGCGCCATCCGCGTGTACCCACCTTACTAGAGTGTAACTCTGGTTTAAGGGGGGGAGGGACTCGCGCGAGCAAAAACCGAATTGGTTCACGCTCATCACGCTCTGACGAAGAAGTCATTGCGTTTGATGCCATTATCGATAACATCGATATCGAAGAAGATGATGCCAGTGAGAGTGCGGAAGCCCTCACTGAAGAAGATGATCCCAGTGAGAGTGCGGAAGCCCTCACTGAAGAAAAGGTTGATGTTGCTGCAGTGCGCTCACAGCACACTGAAGCTAACGAGTCATCAGATGAGTTCATACTGGCTCGTGAAACGGTAGTCCGTTTTGTGCAAGACTCCATCGCCGAAGCGGTGGATAAGCAAAAGCAAAACGCTGACAAGAATGGAAGGGCAAACACTCTTTTATTTAATAAAGGTGACTTAGTCCTACTGTCTACGGTTAACCTACTAAAGCATGTAGTGACTAACTTGGGTAGCAGTAAACTACTACCCAAGTACATTGGCCCATTTCGCGTTTTGCATCGCCTAGGCAATGCATACACGATCGAGTTACCACGTAAGATGCGAACGCATCCCACGTTTTACGTTGGTCGGCTTAAGCCGTACCATCAGTACGCTGCTTCTTCCGATGAAGAACGCCCTTGCGCTCAAGCATCTCGCAGAGAGCCTTGTGCTCCCGATGGTGGGCATCAACAAGGGTCTGAAGAGCAGCTATCTCATCCCGAGACCGATCAGCAATCCCACGAGCTACCCTTAGCTCGTCACGAAGAGATGTAAGAGATCTCTCGTTCTCGAGCTGAGCAAAGGCAAACTCAGCTCGATGCTTCAAGGCAGTGTCCGCCATTTGGAGACGCCTATTCCGCTCATGTTCGAGATCGTCGCGAAACCCTTGCGTTACGCGATCAAAGAAGCTCTCGGGTACACACCGATCCACATGATCGTGTGGAGAGCGTCTTTCCTCCTCCTCCACCTCCATTAGAGGACTCTCGCGGTGGCCAGCGCTTTCTAGTTGAGCAGCTGTTGAACCACCGCGACGTGAACGGACGTCGGACGAGTTATCTCGTCTGGTGGCGCGGCTATCCCCCGTCCTGATATACTTGGGAGCTCCGCTCCCAACTGATGGTTGACGTACTGGGTCTGGTTGAGCAGTACGACGCGGCACATCCTGTGCCGCAGAAGGACCGCCGGAGAAAGTCTTCCCGGCACGGTCATAAAGGGATTTCAGGTTGTCAATCCCTTCGTACATCTCAGTAGAGACACGTACGCGCCACCACGGGCTATTAGGGAGGTAAGCCTCCTTAGGTGCTCGTGCAGAGTTGTTCACACAACATGGGCACGAGTCTCCCCAAGAGAGGCAGGGTAATCCTTTCTACCTTGACAGACGATGCAGCTTGTAGCGTGCACCTGTCGGGGTTCGCTTTTCAAACTTATCACGAGCTTTGATAAGTTTGTCGTTCCAAGCGTCACGACCTACATCCTCGAGGTTATGGATGTAGGCGTTCCACGCCTGAAGTAGTGAGGGACCATCACGTTTGTGATTCCCACTGTACCATCGATGTCTAAAGAAAGCATCGATGAAGAATTCATGTTCAGCGCGATAGTTTTTCGCGCTGGGGTCAAGGTGATGGATCCTTGACGAATCGAACAATCGTGTTCGATAACGATCACTCGTCGTCGCCGACAAGTGATCCATGACAGATTTAGGAGGCATCCATGCCTTCTTTTCTGGAGCGAGACGCAACACCTTGCGGTCCCGCTCTTCCTGCGACGTGCCGACAGAAGTACTGGCACCTCGCTGTGAAGTGGTGTCCATTGGAGAACCGACACCACTATTAGCGCCCGAGTCTCGCGACCTCGAGCTCCTTCGCTTCGGCGATGGTTCATCTTATTCATCAGATGAACCAAAGATGCTGCGACGCAAAGCATCGTCCATGCATGACGCTTGGCAGGCGGCTTAGATTCAATCACCGTCGATACGGATCCGTCATCCGTATCAGGAGAGTACGAGTCACCCAGCTCGTACTCTGTGAAGACACGAGTGTCTTCATGACCAGCGCCTGCATCACCAAGTGACACAGGCTGAGTCGCTTCAGCAACCGATGAGACATCAGTTGCTGTTGTTTCTGCTTCGGCGTCCGCACAGAGACGTGCAGACGCGCTCTCGGCGGCCTTGCTCGCGCATCGCATGGGCTTGTTAACCATGCGATGAGATGTTGGAAAGTGGACGCGGACCAACAAGTGCAAACCCTGTCCCAAATGATTTGGGACGAGTATCCATTTAGTCAATCAGTCACTAAAGTGACTGATGGTTAAGGGGGGGTGATGTAACGGGGTGAATCGTTACATAACAATTTATAAGAAATTGCTAATAGAATATAACTATAAGAGTTATATTCTCAGAATATTGTCATAAGGACAAATATTCTGTAGCACTTACGAGTAGTTCCTAATTGGTTGATATAGGCCATTATATCAACCAACGAAGACGCGCCACGACAGACGCACGCAATGAGTGGTGAGCAGATAGTTGATATGCACATTTGTATTCAGACATAGTTAGATGAAGATAAATAGTGATTTATTGCAGACATTAACTATTATAAATACAGTTCTACTTTTTACTCTAACCAAGTACTCGCTTCTTCCTACCGTCTTCCTCTGCACGTACCAGTGTACGTGAAGTTACGAGGCACCGCCTTATTCTGTCATCAGAATAAGTAGCTTGTACTGTCACCAGTACAAGCTTCAGGGTGCCCCGTTACAAGAAGGGTCTAGCTTAGTTGGCGAGCCCTTGGGGGTCGTCTTCCGTAACAACAAAACACCCAGGCCCTTATAATTGGACGTCCGTAAACCCGCACCGTACCAGAAGATTGCCGAGATTGCCACATTAAAGGCATTGTAGATGGTGATCAACTGTCGAATGTTTGATCACTATCGTTGCTTCAAACCATAAGATCCAAACCACCCCGTGTAGAAATGTGGGGGCAGCCTGCGAGCTTAAATTTAACCTACCAAACTGTAGAAGTTCAAAATTCAGGGTTATGAGTATCCATTTCGTCTAATTTAAACTCTGACGGAATCTTTGCCTTCAGGAAAGCCGCAATGCGCCCAATATCACAAAAGCGATGAAGGTTGTGAAGCTGCACTGTGCACTTAACACGGTGCGCCGTCGCCGGCCCACTCATTCCATGTTGTTGCAACACAGATCCACGACCAGTCCTATGCGTATTCCGCAATCGGTACACACTCCTATTAAAAGGCACCCGAACATCTTCCTGAGACGCTGCTGCATCCCTGGTATAGAATAAGAAATGGATGAACTTAGTTACCAAATCATAACTGATCGTCTTCGTCTGGTGCTGCATATGGTGCAGCTCTTGCAAATTGATCCTCGCGATCTCAGCAGATTTGAGAATCGTATCCTTATCCGCTTTGGTGGTCTTTCGAGTCACTTTGACCGAACGAAATCTATCTAGATGAAGAACTAGTATCCCTTCGACTTAAGCCTTAAGTGATACCATGCAGGTGCAGGCGATCCTCACTCTTTAAGACATGCTGCGTGAACGCAGGTATTCGTCTTTAGGAAATTGATCTGTCCAATAGGCCAAGAATTACTGAATTTTCATCGTCGCTCCCATCCCGCACGTAGTTAGGGCTTGCTACGGGCATCAATTGTTCACAAAGGGCTCTCAGTCGGGTGATCTCGTCGCACGAGAACTTCGCCGGTTTAAACATATAGTCATCAGAAGAGGGCTTGCCAGTGCTGTGCTGCCGTACGCTAGGTGCCGATCCTCCTTGTCGGGCGACCGTTGACCACTGTTTCACCACCGGAGCCTGAGCCCATTTGTACTGACTAGAAAACTTTTGCACAAATTTCTAAAATGACCATTAGAACGTGATAGGCTCGCGCGTTATGAATTATGCCAATTGGTTTCAGCTTAAGAATCTGCCACGTATTTTGACAAAAAGCTGGTCGAATAAACCCACTAGACTTTTTTTTGCCTTAGCCGTCGTTAGTGTTAAAACACCGCTTTCGCTCCACAGGAAGAGCCTCTGAATTTACAGGCTCCGTGTTGTATACTGCTTCAAGTAAAAGTCGTACAGTCGTGCTCCATGCCCGACTCGTCCCACATTAAAAGCCTCATCCATTTCCTCCATCAGCGCGGTGAGCATTTCCGCCGGAGTGCGCTTAGCCGGATAGCCGGTTGCGCCTGACCTGCGTCGTCGTTGCCCACTGGCAGAGTGGGCGCTCTGAGTCCTATCCTCGTTATTCCATCTTGATCTGTTGGTGAGATGAAGGAGGTGTCGGATGTGTCACCCCCTCCCCCTCCAGGCGGAGGTAGGCCAGGTGGGGCATTGTGAGAGATGTACACGGTCGGTGGGACTGGTGCATTGTTTATACTCCTCCTGATCAGCTGTTGATCTCTGCGTCGCAGATTGGGGAGTTGAAAGGCCAATGAAATCAATCATGTCTATGATACCTGATGTTGCCTGCCTATCCCCCTTAAACCAATTTAAACGCACACAAGAGCAAAAAAAGGATTTGCATTGGCCAAAAGCTCATATCAGGATTTAGTGGCCTAAACCTCCATACCGGCTATCAATATCGGCTCAATAGTTTGTCCCACCCGGCTTTTAGCGTCTTCCCACACGCACACTGAAAAGTATGAATAAAATTTCGACATTTAACCTTGCGAATAGTCACAAATAGCTTCACCCTTCGGGCTCGCAAAATCAACTTAGCTCGCTGAATGCCGATTCAATCTGCGCGCGACGGCTTTGTCGATTTTGAACATCGACAGAAGTGCTTACTCTTAAGGGTTGAAGAGTATAATCTTGAAGTACTTTGTATGGAGAAGTTAGTAGAAATAATATGCTATAAATTGACGTAGACAAGTTCTTATCTATTTACTTATAACTATGGACTAATGATGTACGCGAAATCATTGCCGCCATCTCTTCTCCTCATGGCATCTCTCTCTCTTAAGGTTGAAAATTGGTGGGCCGCTAGGCCACAGAGCGATGACATATTGTCAGCAATAGTTTGGCTTGCTAGTGTATGAAGGAGAAAATAAGTATACTTAGCAAATAAATAGTATCTGATGACAACTTATGGCTCCATGTGTTTGCTTAAACCGAAGAAAAAAGGGAGTGAATCAGAGCAAAATGGAGTAAATTTAACAACGTCCATAACACGCGATACACGATTTGTTAGAAATCCGCATTCCTGGAGTGTCGGACAGTAGCTTAACACTAGGTACGAACAGGCTTAAAGACGCATGCCAGAGCAGTTAAAAAGAGCCGACGCCTTTGATCCCTTATCTTCGGTCAGCTCCTGCTGCAGAATCAGCTTGAATAGACACATGTTATCGAGACACACGGCAGAGAACTCAGTCAATGAAAAGAGGACTGAATCAATTTTCAATAACGCTATCCTCTTTTCTCTTTTGCTAGCGATATAGTTATCGAACAATATTACCTTCAGCTTCGAAATGTTTCTGTACTAGCCCGTGCATCCACCATCGATACTGGCAGGGGATTTTTGCGAGATCGCGAACACCAAAATTTGTGTAATTCCGACCTCCAACGATCACTTACCGCCGCGTTCGATTTTACAATTTGAAATTGCTGTCTGTAGAGGCAACCGCAGCAATTCGAATGGTGTAAATATCTCGGTGGTATCAATTGATTTTGAAGGGTTGCGTAAGAGGGCTCCACAAATAGTTATCTAAATGAGAGATAACGCCCTACCATAAGCGCTAACGATCGCGCGGATGCATTATATTCGGTGGGCCTAATTACTGTGTGGCTATCATGGCGTCAAAAAGAGACATCTTGTTATAGTAAGGAACGCTAACAGATGAAGGAATGACTGCAATAGGTTATAAGCCTGCATTGCACCGAAATTGTCAAAATAAAAGAGAGAGAGAGAGAGAAAAGAGACAGTCCATTTAACATTTTTTTCGGTTGCAGGGTTTCTGAATTGCCTTGAGTCCAGTAGCAACGCCGATTCCTCGTTCGAGTCCGATGCTTGTACGGAGCTAGTCACGATAGGTGGCGGCTCTCTCGGTTGCCTAGCCAGTTGTTGCTGACATAAAAGTAGGCGTGCTCCCTAAGTTTTCGTCTCGATCCTGCGGAATTCCCGCTTCGCTACTGCCCGGAGTTGACGCATGTCGTTTTTCCAAAATCCTGGACGCTCCCTTCGAGTGTTACATCCTCGCGTTGGGATTCGACTCGATATATTGAATCCACAAAGTAGTAACACGGATGTTGCTAAGCATTCGCCATAGCCGCCTCCAAACCATCGCGTATTTTGCGTCTGCTTCAGGATAATCCCGTCCTAAACGGCCCTTGAAAGTCTTGGGCAGCTTCGGTGCTGTCCTGCTTGCACGAGAGAAGCGAAAGCGTTGCAGTTGCCCTAGCTCCCAGCGTTCTCCTGTCGAGTGGCAAATAAGTCTGCTGACAGGTCTGAGCACGTGGGCATGACCAGAAGATGTGTTCCAGCGTCTCGCTAATATTACGGCAGCAACGAAGCTTCTGAAAAGAGGGGTCAAGCTTCCTCCCCGGAAAATAAATGTTTAGTTGCCTCACCGCGACCCAATAGCAGACCAAGATCTGGTGTGCTGTAAGCTTGTTACCGTAAGCTTATAAAAAAGCAGAAGTCTGCAATAGAGCTGCAGCTTGCCAAGCGCTATTTTTTGCACACTGCGGTCACGAGCCTCAACAGCGTCTGAGGAAGCGAAGTGCTGGACCTGTAAAGCCTCCGGAACGGTTGGGTTTTCAGGTCAACTGGACGTGTTTGTTCGCGATGGAGTCCAGGACACTCCAGGGGATTGTCCCGGACTACCAGCGGCTGAGCATGATGCTGCGATTGGCTTGACTTTTACGTAGCGTCTGACAGTCGGTCGTTGTGGGCTGGTGGACGACGTTGACCGCTGCAATGCTCCAGTGAATACCATCACGCTCATGCTCGAGCAGGATAATACTTCACTGCTAAGGATTTTGACACTCGCCTATCCCACACACACGCCTCATCTACCCGGACCAATTCGAGTGGGTGCCGTTGAAGCAGTATCCGCGGGACATGGAGGCTGGCCTTAATGGTTATAATCGGCGCACTTAGCAGTGTCGCAACCTCCCAGCGACGCAGCTTGACCTGTTTATGCGTGCTGTGTCCGACTGCTGGAATTACGAATGAGTAGGAATGGATCCTATCCGCTGCAGGCCGAGTTTCTCAATTGCGCAGGGCTGAATCTTGTCATACTCCCTGCTGGTCAGAAAGATTCCCGGCGATCCAATATCCAAGGAGTGTCAGCCCAAGAGTACGTGGGCTAGAAGGCTTGCTCTTCAGTCGTCGTCTCTCGGAAACAGTGAGGCAAAGGCCAAGACATATCCACTAACCATTTCTCTAGTGTAGCCCAACTGATGGCTGTGAATAACAGGCTCTCAAGCTCGTCCATGTACCGCTGCATTCTGCTCGCTGAATCCGGTAGACTGGGGCCAGCCACGGCTGTAACAGCTGAAGATTATAGCCGGTGGTATGTCGAGATATGGGCCGCATTGACGTGAGTTCGTCGAGTGGCGATACGCCTGAATTGCTCATATCCGAAGCTACTCCGACACATTTGCTTGCCATGCAGAGAAGTAGATACCCTTGCGTTGTGTGAGCCATAAGATGGCATGCATAAAAGCAGATACCCTTGCGTTGTGTGAGCCATAAAACGGCTTGACACGCTGAGTCTTGCAGACGATCAAAATCGAAGCGAGGCCCACACAGCCCGCTCCTTTAGGCGTATGCAAAAAATCGACGGGTTAACTTGGTGCCGTGCGGCATCGGTGCTGGTCGAGCAATTCCACCGAAACTGCTTTTGTAAATTCTGGAGCTGTTGTTCCGCAAACCGGGAGCTCAAATACCGCTGCTGTAAACAGGATTGACGGAAGCATGATAACATTGAGAATCAAAACTTGAAGCTCGACCGTGGTGGCGAGCTGCGTAGCTGTGGCCGGACGCCGTTGAGCGTTTCGAATACGCGCTGCCCAGTTCGTCTCCGTGAGCCTTTCCGTTCCAATGAAGTAGCCTTAGTACTGCGTCGTATCCTCGTAACGAAGATCTAGGATTCGGCAGAACTCCGCCTTGTAAACAGATGAGTTTAGAAGAATTAGCTCGCTCGTGAGAGGTTGGACCCGTAAGCCCGATAGCTGCCCAAACCGCTCCAATATTTGTAGGACGCAAGAGAGATGACCTGCTTCATTCAAAAAAAAAGTTGCATCGTCGATGAACGCAGAAAACTTGTGTCTAGTAACGTCCCCGTGTGGTACGGTGATGCCGGGGTCATTTGAGTCGGCCTGGATTGCCAGCGCAAGCACGTCCGCCGCGATGATGAAGAGTAAGGGAGCCAGCGGGCCGCTTTGGCAAAATCTCAAAGCACCTCCTGTGGCCTGGAAAGCTCCTTGTTGACCAGGAAATGAGCTGTGATTCCGGCATGAATTTTCCTAGTCATTGTCAAAAAGCTCGGCGAGAAGCTAACCGCGTGAGCGCGAAGAAAAGAGATTGCGGAAAACGGTATCATACGCCTTGCAGACGTCCAGCAAGAGAATCGCTTCACTGATAATGTCCTATGGCGCAGGATGGCGTCGCTCGTGTTTAAAATGACCATCCTCATTATGACAGTCTTTTGCAGCTGCCGTCCATGTACAGAGCCTTGCTGTGAGTCTCCTACCAATTTTCCCAAGACGCGCTGGACCCTCGTGGCGATGACCTTAGCGAAGATCTTGTAACTTGTTTGTAGCAACGCGATTGGTTGGTGATTCATCGCGTCCTCAGAGTCTCCTTGCTTGCATAACGTAATAAAAACTAGTCCTTTTTAAAACGATTGAGGTGATTGACTGCCGTTGAGAAACTCGTTACCAATAGCTATCATTGCCGGTGCCAGTACAGCATGTGTGTCCTTTAAGAAACCATTATAAAGACCATCTGCTCCCACAGCTTTGTGCCGGTCTAGCGCACCAATGGCGTCAACCACCTCATCAAGACAGATCTTGCGCATCAACGTACCATTATCGATCCGATCGCCGATAACTGTGGTATCGGAAACCTTGATAAATGCATCGAACTGGCCATCCAAAAGTTGCGGCGGCGCTGAGTTGTGGACAACATCCAAGATAGGCTTTCATTCGTATACAAACTGGCCCGCCGTCGACATGTCTTGCGTGAACGCAGCCCCATTGATGTTACGAATTAAGACCATGGTTTGATCCTTTTCAAAGACAGACCCGCTTATAATTCCATCGCAGTTAGTCCATAGTCCGTTCAAGTCGGCCGTCTACGTGAAACAAGTGTTCTTCTCTCGCCTTCTCGCTAGTGACCGCGATCCGCTCAGTGCGCGTTAAAAGGCGCGCTCGGCTCTGGGCCTGAATTCGATGGATAACCACACGCTGTCGTTGACTTGTTCGCTTTCACAACCGCTAAATTAAGGTAACATCTGTCCGAGCTGTAGCGCCCCAAGTCGCACATGTCACTTTGTAACCTACGCCTTGATCGATTAAAGCTTTCGGTAGCTCCATTATGACACGAGAAGGCTGGGCAGACCTGATGGTATAGGTGACTGTGCGGTGTCGCCGTCTTAGGTCGAGAGATACCGCTGTATCTTTGTAATGCAACTGCACCCGCTGATGGTCCAACAGCACGCGAGGCTCATGTACCGACACCCACTGTACCACAGAGGACCAGGCTTGCAACACGTAGAAGCGATCATCATGACTTGCCGCATCAGGTCCCCAATACGTATAGAAATCAATAGGGTCAGGGTCGTCACCCTCTCCATCCACAGACTCACTGAGAAAACGAGCGTTTTCCAGATGATGAGCTTCCATTTAGGTCTGAAGCGCCTTGCTTATCGGACGTCCCTGCCGTTCGTCGCTAAGCCTGTTACGAGTCGAGCTCTGAGCACTATTGAAGTCCCCGGCGAGGTTCGTCGGCTGCTCTATCCGCGTCACCTCATGCAAGTCAGTGAAAAAGTGCTTCCGACCGAGGGGGTCAACAGGCGCATTTATGTTCACCAAACCAATATCTCCCAGGTCGATCGCTATGACCTGATTCGACCATCCAGTCATATTTAAGGGGATGTAAGAAATAGCTACCGGAGGGGTCAGTAAAATGAAAGTGCCCGGTGTCCTTTTACCGCTGATGCACTAATACGATAGCGGTGGCCCAAGGCGACTCTGCTTTCCCCATAAGCGGGCCCAAGTGGAAGTGAGTCGATCCACTTCGTCTTGGCTGCATACATGAGTCTATTGAATCAGCCAGGCTGGTGGACTCTCGATTACAGGAGTTCGTCGCCACGCTTCGAGATACTGATTTCGATACAACCCCCTAATATTCTGAAATTCTATGCGTTTGGACACATTAAATTTTTGTTGCACTAGTAGCTCCGGGTCATACTGTGCGTCCACCGGAGCTAGTGGAGACGGCTATAAGCGTCCGTCGAATCGGAGCCCCAACTGATGTTCGGAGCCCCGGCAGCTAATCTAGGAGTGCTCTTAGTAATAGTGTGCGCCCTCCACTCTCCCATGCTTAAACTTATTAGAAAAGAAACGCGCGATTGAGAGCCAAGCCTTGGTGTCAATTAAGGCATGAAACGCTGCTCGATATTGGGTACTTGAAGAAATCGTCAAGATGAGCTTCGAACGGGCACGCGAGAAGATAGTGATACAAAATGAGGTAAAACGGAAGCAAGCCAGTGTTGACTAGGTTTGGCATACTTTCAAATGAGTTACTTTTACTTACTTTTGAGTTACTTCTGAGATTACTTTAGAATGACCCAGTCGAATGCAAATTGAGCCCAGTCGTTCAGGATTTGCCTAAATTTAGTCTGATGTGCTAATTGCAATCGCGTTTTCGTCCTTTTCTTTCCTTTCTTAACGATATTGGCTCATCACTGAAAACAGGCTGACGCTATGATCAAGGGGTTGTTCTACAGCGAGTTTGACAACGTGGCGGGGCCCGTAATTCTCTTCCAAGCGCCTTCAAAGTAAGTCCTTTATCGTACGGAGCTCTCTGATTTATTCTTAATACAACGCTGACACATATTCTGTCCTACAAGTGTCCTGAATAATGACGTGTTCGACAGCGTGTCTGGCTACATAATCATTGACAAGGCGCTCTGTGGGAAGATTATCACGGGTGGGTGAGGACTCAACATCTATTGTAGCAACATAAATACGAGGGTCTTCAATATGTTGCTGTACGAGTGCTCATGTGGCATGCTACGGGGCAGTCCGTGCGCAGCAGATGAAGATCGTGGGATACCCCGTCTGCATTGAAGACGACAAGTATCACCGCAATGCGCTACTGTTTAACATTGGTATAGTTCACGTCCGCTTGTACTTCATCTTTCAGCAATATCGAAGGCTTACAGTATGCTAATGACGCGTGCAGGTTTTGTATTCAATGACCACGTGGAGACGGCACCCTATCGACCAATTATACGGAAGGTCTGTCGCTCTTTATGCATGGCACTCATGCTTGAGATGCTAATGGTCCTCCTGTTGACCTGTGAAACAGTTGGGAGCCTTAGTTGAGGGAATGGAAAAAGAAAGTGGCTTCCTGTACGATCCGAACAAGAAAGAGCTATTGGGGACAATCCTGCCCCAAATTTTGCGCGATTTGACGCTGCATGGTGAGTGCACCATTCCAGTGGACGCAGCAAACATCATCAATTTAAAGCTCTTCCCGACCTTACAAGACCCTCCTTCTGTATGTGAGTATCAAGTACCGGTGGCCATTCGGGATCTACGAGCTCTTCTTGAAAACAGTGGTGCGGTTCCCAAATTATTCTTATTTTATACTTCAGTCAAATGAAACTCACTGGCTCATTCAAACTTGCGCACACAGCAGAATGGGACTTGGCGCTTCAACAGATTGTGCCTTTCATTGATGGTGTTCGGTATGTCAAGCGCATCAGTCTTGAGGCAGATGTGGAAATTGCGATCGTCAAGAAATGTGTCCGGCAGCTTCTGTACTACGGCTGCGTGACGCTCATTGACATCTTTCTTCACTCAAATAGTTATGCGAACACGCCAAAAATCGCCGTGCTAGCAAATGACCCCAGGCTGCAAGCTGAGTGCGCCGTTTACATCGCCAGATCGGGGTCCGCGCCGCCATCATTCGCGCGGATCTTTGCGTTATACTGTTCCGTCCAGCCTAGCTTGCGCATGAGTGACTTTTCTGTCGTGTATTCCGAGTCACTCGCTCTCATCGATGCGCGACGTTTCGTCACCTTCGGCCTCATCCATGGATTCCTGAGACGCGTGCATCGCTACCCTATCTATGTCGATCACGGCTCCAGCCCTCAGCAACAGAAGCAGCAAGGCCAGCAAACGCTGCAACAAAACCAGCAACAGCAGCAGAAGGGTCGATCATTTGGATTATCGTCGGCCTCGCCACTGCTGTCGGGAATGAATCCTATCGGTGCTGCACCTTTGGCGGTTCAGCCTAATGGGGCGCCTAACGCATCGAACGCGAACATTATAAGTGGCAGCTCCGGCGCAACAGGAGGCAATGTGGCTTCCATGTCGTCTTCGAAGAGAGCCATGGTCTCGAAGGCCAATCAGTTGGAGAAAGACTTGCTCCGGATGATGGATGGCAGCCACCATACGGACGATATCTGCACCAAGTTTTTGCTGCGCTACGCCGATGTAGAGTCTACCATTCAGATGAATCCTAGTTGCTGCGCAGTGCACAAGTAAGATGTGCGAAGGAACTGGAAGCAGTTACGTGAAAATTGACATCATATTGCGCTTCTCTTCATCTTTCCCCGTGCTATATGCGTAAGCCGAATACAGCTAATTTGTTTCACATCCAGTCCATTGCACAAGATCTCCAAGTTATCTGTGTCATTCCGAAGCACAACATCTCCATACTGATCACTCCATCCAAAACCCCGAGATCTCCATGTTCATCACGAGCGTCAAATAGTTAACCATTTCTGCCTTCGTGTGGTAAAGTGGGAGGTCTATTCGATTAAAGCACGTGTGGCCCTTAGGCATGAGACCAGTTGGCGGAGGTCCACGCTGTACAAACTGTATAGTAAACCGTCGGACACGACCATCGCTACTCGTAAGTGCTTTAAATCCCTGAACGGGGACTCGAGAAGTACCAGTAGCGAATTGCAGCAATCGTGCGCGCTCCTCGCTTGTAAATTCAGCCATACACTCCCAAAACCACTTTAGCACGCGATGCTCGACGGGAGTTGGCTTCTCCAGCTTAACCCAGCGTACCTCACTGTGCGCGTGCCAATCGTTTACGTCCAACTCCGGCACACCAGACAGTAAAAGATCAAATTCCTGATAGTCAAACACCGTGATCAAAAACTGCGGCATGACGTCGTAAAAACCCATGAGCAAAGCTCCCAGCTGCTCTGAAATGCTCTCAAACATATAGTGCTTCAGTAGGAGCTCCAAGTATTCCTTTTTGTTCTCGTCTGTCACGTCTCGAGTGGCGCCACCAGGCACCAGCTCCACTGTCTGAGATTTCCCCTCAGAAGTTATCACCTGCACCGTGAAGTCAATTGCAAGCAGATCGGCGCCATCATTTTGCTTCATCCATAACGCATTCTTGTACAAGTCTTCATCCAAAAATTCGAGATCCGAGAACGAAATTGGCACGCCAAGAATGTGCTTAATAAGAGGCAGCGCAAGCGACATTTTCATGTTATACCCTTCAATCAACGCCTTGGCGAGCAACCGACCAATGAACTCGTAATACTCCAAGTGATTCGGCACCTTAGACGCCGAGGCGGGATTGATCCAATAACCCATGTTCTCGCCCTTTGTAGAAATAAACAGACCGAAGTCGTCGTTGAAGAGCGAGTCACTCAAGATCTCGTACCATTCGCGAATTAAACCACCAGCATCTAACCCAGGCTCGTTCTCAAAGTAGATGCGCAGCCGCTCCCAGAAGCGACTAGGTGGGCACTTCAGCATTTGCTCCAGCGAATCGCTCACGACGTGTTCCCGTCGCACGACGAACTGGATGTGGCCCTCTTCGTAGCTTCGCCAGCGCTTCTGCACCTGCTCAAGAAACCAACGGTTCTTGTCTTGGAAAGTCAGCGAAGCGATCTCCTCAAAGTCGTCTTCGCATTCCATCCGGCGACTGGTACACGTAAAAGCAATCACAGTTCCAGCAGGGGTCCATTCGTAGCCACCCTCGCCGTCTTCGTGTCGCACGTAGCCTGTGGACACACTGGACATGGCCGTATCATTCGTATCCATAAAACGACGGTCATCCATTCCATTTGGTCCACCAACTTGAGAAATCGTGCGTCCACCCATCACTCCCTCCCTATTTTCGTCAATGTGATTCAATCCGCGAGAGTTGTGAATCGAGGTGAGCTGGCTCTTGTTATTGCCTCTACCATTGACTGGTTTTACGCTAGCATTCGCCGGGTTAAACGGATTCTGCTGTGAGTAGAACGCCATTGTCGGTCGCTCCTCTGCTTCTTCCAGGCGTTTCAGTGCTGTCGCACGCAGCGGCTGGAACGACGGCCGCCCCAACTCGTTGTTTGCCGACAGGAACGAACTGTCTGGGTGACGTCCCTCGTCCTCAGGGACACCGAAATCACGCAGCGCCAGTGCAATGTTCTCATTGTCTTCTCTCTGTGAAGATGTCGATGAGATGCGACTAGTGTCGGACGTGCGGGTGAACTCTTCCTCCCCTAAGATCGCCGTGCCATTATGGGGCGTACTCAGTCCAGTGTACATGGTCCCGTCTTGGATCTCCTTGAGCTTCCCTTGCGTCTCGCCCTCGTCGTGGTCCTGCGCATGCTGTGCGTCAATACGCATCCAGCGCATAACGCCATCGTTTCCCCGCTTCCGCTTCCACAAATGCCGACGCACGGCTGCCTTCTGTCTCGACGTCAGGTCCATCTGCTTGAGCCGTCGGACGTGGAAGCTCCGCACTCTCGACTGCTGGTTCAACATGCTCTGACTAAAGTCTTGTTTGTGCAGCCCCGAGGCGCGCGCCAAGTAGTTCGACGGCGTCGACGCGGTGACGATGCGTGGGGTGCCGCACATCACACAGCTCTTCTTGTCCGGGTGGTTGTCGTGGAAGCAGATCGAGCACGGCCACTCTTCTTCGCCGCGCTGGAGGAAGCTGTCCACGAGGTGGTGGCGCATCATGTTGTTGTTCTGGTTATCGCGGGCGAGGAACCGCTCGATCTTACGGGCGTAGCTCCAGTAGTACCAGATCGAGCCGCAGAGCACGAGCAGCGCCAGCACGAGGAAGATGTACACGAGCGCCGCCATGCCGGGGCTCAGCTCCTGCCCAAAGATGGCCGTCATGCAACTAGTTTGGGTATGCCAGATGCGGCGGTTGAGGACGGAGAGATAAAGAGCGATAAAGCGCGATAAAGAGAGAGAGAGAGAAGGCGCTGCTGACTCTTGAAAAGCTGGAAATCGGAGCGACCGAATTTTAGCTAATTAGAAGTCGGAAAACGAACGACGAGACGGGACAGCGGCTTTCGATATCGACGACTGATCGGATTTGTTGCGTTCGTTTTTTTTCTTGTGGTCGAGTGAGTCCTACTTCTATGCACTAGACTTGAAGGTACAGCTGTATACACGTATACATGTAAATGTGCGTGGGGGTCGTTTCAAACGAGACGCAGCACTATCCGGACGCTGGCCGTCGTGATCAAGGGCAGTTGAGCAAAGTCAGTGATAGAGAGGCAATGTTCTTACGGGACAGGCTCGCTGGAGAAAGAAAACGGGTTTCGTTAGACCGACGACGGGCTCACACACGAAGCGACTTGGGGCTTTCGTCATTTGGCTTGCGCCAGTTTGGCGTTTCGTGTTCGATGGCAACGTGTGACCACATGGGCAACTATTTAAAGCGTTCAACGATAGAGCAATAATCGTTCTTTCCAATTGTAGATGTCGTGGCTACTCACGGGCCGGTGTACTGTAGCTCCTATCCGTAAAGCCGGATTGGTCTGTAGGCGACGGAAAAGGATATGGGTGACGTTACATGAGGAGCTATTTGAAGTAAACTGCAGCAGTGTGGAAACTATTGTCATCTGCGCAATGGTATGCAACGGCGTGTCATTGGGTAATAGTGGACCGCTTTCTTTAAAAATTACGTGTGCTGAACCCACTCATACCGCTGGCTTGCGGGGCTTTCGTGGGCGAGGCTAATCCGTACTGTGAATTTTGCTATTCCGTACTGCAAACGCCGTCTAACGAGTTAATGGACAGCTGATTGTTTAAAAGCTAAATTGTTTCCGTAATATGCGATATAAGGAGTTTAGAGGTGCGAAGATTGTAGCGCTTCCTTTTCCTGGTTTTAGCTCCCTGCATGTCACCCTGTAAACTAGTTTTATACGAAACGTAGTGTAGCTTTAGCGGCTTGTTGTGGCTAGAGAGCATTATCACTGCTAAAAGCCGATGTCATTTAGCTTGCGCTCCTGGCTTAACTTCTTGTCCTGTCTCTACGTCTCAAAAACGCGACGAGAGATCGTGGCTTGTTGAGCATAGGACGTCCGCTGTTGTCGGGTTGAACTGAAGTGTATGCACGTCCTTTGTTGTGCCCTGATGGAGTCAGTAAGGGGTCACTTGGCGCGTCTGATGTGTCGGTTTCGTTTTTCGGAAGAGTCCAAAGATGAATGGTGGAGTCAGCTGGCCCGGTCGCAAGCACGATGTCTTCCGTCCGTTAAGCACTGACACAGCGCCATGCTGTGCCTATCCAGTAGCATTAAGCTCTTTAAAAGTATGGACTCCCCTGCACAACTATGGGCGCTGTCCAATAAGTCGCGTTTGCAGCAGTCGCACATGACGCATGCGTGGAGAAAGCGGCGCGTTTATCACCAAAGTAAATCAATTCGCTGCTTGGTGGTTCCTTGCGTTGCACGTAGCATATTAGCTGATGCTTATACTAGCCATCGCACTTTGTCCAACATGGCGACCGAATTTACGATTGTTGTCGGATCTTTTCCCATCGTTAGCGCGTCGTTGGCGTCGAAGTAGCAAGAGCTGTGGAACGAAATTTCTTAAATTTTGTCATAATAGGTTTGAATGCATCCACCGTGGTACACGTGAAGTCACAGGTGTGGTGTTTGAACTACCGTGGGCAACTGCCGACTCCGTTGCTGAAGTAGTAGCATTCCAAGTGGTGTCATCACTCCGTTGTATTTTGTCGAACAGAAGCTGTCTTCAGTCTTGTGCTTTGGCTCGTTTTATTTTCTCATGTTACACCCCCAGCCTGTCTTGGCATCAAGCGCAAACTTTTATGATGCACTCGACGACGCCGATGGCGGCAACGCCTATTTTCAACAACCTGACATTTTTTAACCACTACTTTCGTTCGCAGCACTAGTTTATGGCGCTCCCCGAACAGGTGCACATGATGTCGGACACTCAACCATGTTTTTTCCATTCCTCGTCATCCTTTACAGTTGGTGTCACAGCCTCCAGCTTATGCTCAGCACTCGATTCTGTTTAAGGAAGCCTTACAAACTTTGCACCTCTATACTTTTATATATCGCACATTACGAATGCAATTTAGTATCTAAGCTAATTAGCTATCCGTAAAAATGTTCGACGGCGTTTGTAGTACAAAATAGCAAAATTCAACGTACGGATTGGCCCCGCCCGGGCTTTCGTACTAGTGTGCGCAATATCAGAGACCATGCTGAGCAACTTGAACTTTCTGCAGCATAAAACCGCCGATCTTTTGTCAAGACAGCTGCGACACACGCTTCAGCCACACCATTTCGTTTTGACGAGTCTACACCAAGCGTACACTAAGAATGCGTGGCTCACGTTAGCTCCCACCGCGTTCGTGTTGCACCATGACCACTACGCGGCGTCTACAAGCGTGTCTACAGCGATGGCACCTGCTCGGACGCTACCACGTCAACAAGTGGCATTATGACGGGTCCAAGTGGATCGACCGGCTGTTGTATGGAACGGGAAGCACAGGGAACGGGCCGCAGGTAGCGTCCGTGGCATTCATGATTACGCGCAACATGCGTCAGCAGCTCATGGACGCTGGTTTCCCGGCCTCTGCCATCGCGACGCTGCAGCCAGCCACAGCACAGCAGATTATTGCTAGTAAGGTCACATTTGGGAAGTTTGAGGAGCTTCAGAAGCTGCGGCAGGTGGAGGAAGAAGGAGCGACAGCTAAGCTGGCGTTGAAGAAGGAGGCAGAACAGCAGGAGACTCGGCAGAACGAGCGAGTAGCGGTGGAAGGAAGGTTGGAAGAAGAGCAGCAACTGAAGCCGAAGCAGAAGGTGAATTCTACTGTACTTGCGGTGATGCAAGAGAAAGCTATAGACGATAAGAACATAAAGGTAACGAAGGACTGAGGGACCAATTGTGTGTGTCAACAAGAGTATGCGCTTCTTCGCGCTTGATTGGGACTTGACAGAGCCAAATTGTCAAACTGTGAGGTTGGTTTCCGTATTGGCCGTACTTGCACTGGGTGCTTAATTCGCTTGTCTCCTAGGCCGTGGATGTCTTGTGTCTCTAGACCGCAAAACAAGCCACTATTAGTGTTGAAACGTTTCACGCTATCGGCATCTACTAAATCAGTGGGAATCACTTCCATGCACCCACAAACGCCTGTTCCATCGCCATCTTCATGCTCGCCCTCGCCACTTTCATGGGGGTGAGCGCCACGACCGCCGCCAGCTGCACGCCCCACCAAAAGACACAGAAAGTCGCTCCGTAGACGTAACGGTTGCCTCCTCTCTCTGTAAAGTAGATCCACAAGACCGACGCAAGAACGTAGAGCAGAGTGACGAGCCAGTATCCGCAATAGAACTCCCGTCGCAAGTCGTCGTAACTCGAAGTCTGGTACCACTTGGAGCGATGTACCAACGCCAGAACGCTGTGTTCCAGTGCTTGAGTCGTCATAATATACACTAAGACAGTAGCGGATAGCGTCGTGAGCGACGCAGCTGCTGGTGCGAGGTGCAACGCCAACTTCGTGAGCTGCAGCAGTAGCCACGAGAGCAACCACACTACAGACCACAATAACGCCATCGCTGGAAAATTAAGAATTATTTTCACTTTTTAAAATCTGAGCATTTGTGTTGTATGCTTTCAGCTAATATTGCAATCCTAAAAAAAAGAGAAGCTTTTAGAAGCAATCAACCAACCATTTCAATCACTCCAAGTTACAAGTGCCACAGACTTCCGTTACTCTTAGTGGAGTTCGCTAGTTGGGATTTGTACTAGGGGAGGTAAGTAAAAAAAGGCCATGGGGATAACATTGGGCTTTATCTGCGTTAAAACGTTCAAACCAGGGCTGCATTTCAAAGCGGAGCTTTTACTACCAGAAATCTATTTACAGTCCAAAAATATAGTTGTGGGGAACCAATAATGAGCCTTCTGTTTCCGTTTTAGGGTCTTAACCTCTCACATAGTTTTGAGTGATAATACTACAACGCATCTCACTAATTCGATACAGTGCAAGTCACTTCTAATCAGTACCTAAAAGACCTTAAGCTTCTTTGCGAACATGCCTCCAGAAATTGCACTAATCATTGTGAAGTCTCTACACAATGGAAGCTGAGAAGCTACTGAGCAGTCTTTTGAAATCGGATTTCAAGGATCTTAATTTTCCATGGAGCAGCCCCTCTTCAAAGTTGGCCATTATGAGCGTATTTGCATGGTCCAGGGAAAATTTGGCCAAGGATAAATTGGTTAAAATAAGTTTTAATTAATTGATCATTAAAATCTGATTACAATACATAAAAAATCTATATTGTCTGAAAAAAATCACATAAATCGAGGTCCGTGGCTAATATGCGCCGGTGTAAACGGTACTTCTTGACGGCATATTATGCAGCTGTTCCCCTGAGACCTTTCTAGTATGCATCCATGTATCTCTGCGCTTTACGGGCATACCATCGGAGCTCAGTTATGCTGTTGGAGACAGAGCTTTTGTCAGCGTTTCTTGTAGACCACACCACGTGTAGTCGCAATGCGTCCTGACACGCCGCTTTGCCGCACCCCACATTTTTCGTAATAATTGAGCTCTATATAAAGTTGTGGGTATAAGATGGTCTTGTAGCCTTTTTCAACGATAAGCTCCTTAAGCATTCCGGCCTGACCAACAAAACCAAGTTTATTGGCCTTGATGGAACAAGCGCAGCAAATCCTCGAGTCCTCACACTCATCTTTGCATTTAAGTCGCAACCCGTTTCTCCACAGACCAAGTTCTTGCAGCACAATTTTCAGCTCTTTTGGCTGTCTTTTAAGAGCCGGATCAGGGTGGTCCTGTGGGAAGCACATAGATTGGATCTGCCCGTCTTTGCCAAATGTTGTTGCCCTGTGTAGTAAATTAAAAAAAATAAGAAATTAGTTAGCACACAGTACGGTAGCTAAATGTTGCTGCATGAAATGACAAACCAGATGTGAAACTTACCGCATTTTTAACTGCTTTCCCCCATGCGAAAGCCGCATCTTGTTTGCAATTAGGGCGTCAGGCAAAAAAGAAGCATGGCTGGTGGCATTGCCTGATGCAAAAAGCGCCTGTTCCACTGGAAATTGGCGTTCAAAAATGGGTATTGACTGATCTCTTACTTGCATTGCTAGGTCTTCGGCTGTCCACCATCCATTGAAAAAAAATCGGGTTTGATGACAACGCAAGCCTTCCTTGAGAAACCTTCGGGTCGGTCAGTGTCGTTGCCCTCGAGTTCCAACCGCCCACCAACGTCCGTTAGAAAACAACTGACAAACAGCGATCGTCCAGCTCCTTTATTCCGTAGTGGTTGTTCTTCATCTGGCAACCAGAGCCGCCGTTGTTCATCAAAGGCCGCATATGTTCTCTCATCATGAAGGACCAGGATTAAAGGTTGCCCTTTTGGCCATGTGATATTCATCATCATGACGCCACTGAATTGGGGCATCTGTGACTCAATTTCTGCTATTTTTTTTCACAAATACTTTTCGATATGCCATAACGTCGTCGCGCTCATGGCTGTCCATATAGATGGCCTTCCTGACTTCACGATATTTAATGCCGAGGCCTTCTAACCAGCGAATGGCAGTGCTCTCTGAAATTGTCGAGGAAGGAGCATATCTAAGCTTCGGCAAAACTTCAGAGTTGATGTAGTCCACCGGTTTCCGCACTTCCACAGTTTTTTGTTCACGAAGGAATGCCTGAACATCATTAGAGACATCCTCGTCTCACAGGAACGATCACCGTTTTGCATGCTTTCCTAGGCGGCTATGCAGAAGTCATCCGTCAAGCAGAAACGTATTTGTTCAGTTGTAAATTGAACATGCGAATTATACACCTTTGCCGCACGTTTCAGCTGCTAGTTCGCTAGCGGCTATTCTTGATCTGCCGTTCCAGACAAGGCGCATTGACGCCAACATGCATGCGCAGCGGGCTCCTTTAACCTTGGAACTTCCTTCACACCGATGCTTTAGATCATTGACGGCCCTTTGCAGCACGGAAGCATCTTCTTTGGCAGCAGAAGCGCCAGCTTCTTCCTCATGGTCTTCTGCTTCCGCTTCCCGTCCAGAGTTCTCCCGTCGCTCGACTTCTGCGCCATGATTAGGTTATAAATAGATGTTTAACGTCCGTGCACCTAAAGCTGCCTGCTTCTGCCACATCTTCTGTTAACGCCGCGTTATGCCGGAAATGATCAAATAAACTGACGGTCGTCCTTTCTGTACCGCGAGTTTCTGTAAGAGCGGAGTGATTACAGTGCCCGGTCTTTAGTGACTTCTTCGCTTTCACTAATTTAAAGTTCCTCTTCACCCTGTCCAATGTTGCTGAACGTGTCGTCTTCAGTTTAAAAGCCGCTGCTGAAGGCTGACTGTTCGATTTAAAATGGGACGCTTGCCAGAGCTTGCAGACGTTTGCTTTATGTGCATCTTGAGGTGCTGATCACGCTTGCTAGCAGGAGGCATTGAAGCGTTGTGGTTGGTTCGTGGTTGAAAAGCGTAGTCAACGCACGCCTATGCACACATGCAGACTGCAGTCCTCATGTTTCAGTGTCGTACATTAATCGTATATTAGTAATAAAGTACTACCATCCAATGAACAGATACCTCATACCTCTTGACAAAATAGACAAATTTGTCAAAAGTACTTAGTTGAGGTATCACAGTCAGTTATAGTCACGTGATCGTTCACCTGCCGAAAATGAAAATTCCTCAATTTTGCTTACAAATTCAAGGGGCAAAATTTGGCCACACTTTGTAGGTGTTGCTGATTGTAAGTGACTTGCACTGTAGCTAAATATATAAATTACAGGCTGTTAACCCTTTTACTGTGTTTGATGTGACAACATACGACTAGGCGGCTGCACATTTGTTAGCATCAGGCGAGCTTGCGACAGCGTGCTGTAGACGGCTTTGAAAACTAAAAGAGACATCCGAAGAGGTGTTTGCTTATTAATTGATGGGAGTTTAAGTAGTGGTGATGGCGCCCAGATAGAATCCGTACATCGCCGACCTTTCTCTTCATCTTTATAAACAATTAGAAGTCGATAGAATACTATTCAGCACTGAGTACAACATGAATGACTCGACATCTTCAATACGATTCCTTGTTGGAGGTGCTGCAAGCACTACCATCGGGTTTTGACTTCCATCACCTCACATGTCTCCATGGTACCCATTGTTGTTATTACCAAATGTCTGGAATCGTTATCGTGCAGATACTTTGTCGAGAGCTTCACGGGCACTTTAACCCGGAATTAAATGCTGTCCTATGACTCTTAATGAATCCTTGTATGCTGCATGATCAAGTAAAGTTAATTGACCCTAACTAAGCCAATAACGTGGCCAGTGATAAGTTAAAGTCTTAAAACTTGACACTCTCAGTGAAACCGGGGGGGGGCTGTTTTATGATGTACTACACATAGTAAATAGCAAGTGTGACAATTATTTTATCAAGACATCCTATTCTCACATTTTTATCGTAGCTGATAACATTTCGCCGCATAACGCTTCTTACCGGTTGATGTACGCCATGACATAAACCATTAATGCTGAGCCACGACAGACGTGCGCAACGAGTGGTGAGCCGATAGTTACAGTACATGCTTATAAAAAGACATGGTTAAAAGAACTCTGGTTAAGTTTATTGACAAAAGACTAGCCGTTGTAAATACAGTTCTAATTTTACCGTTACTAAGTACTCTTTCTCTAGATATTTCTCTGCACGTACGTGTACGTGAAGTTGCAAGGCACCTAAATATACGGTGTCAAGTGTAAGAATATTTAACTGTGTCAGCATCGCGAGCGCCTGTTCCCTGTTTACCCTAAAAACTAACAAGAACTAGATTTGAGAGAAAACGCTTATTAAGAATACATGAAGTACCAGAATGGTCTTTGTAAGTTCATGGTAAACAGCGGTAAACATCAGCAGTCCGGTAAAAAGTTGTGAAACCGTATTGGAGATTTTCTATCTAATACCACAAACCATGGCGGTGCGGTCATTTAAAATTCAAAGCTAGGGTAGCAAGCTTCGGAACTCGGACTATAATAGACGTAATCCAGTTCATAGAACTAAATTAAGTTGCAAAACACTATACAACAGCAGTCACAGAAGAATGAGAATGGTGCTATAACTGTATGTATTGAACCAGTTAAGTTTGCTTGCCCAACGCGATCGGCCTTTGCTTATGAGTATCCAGTATTTGCTTAAGTGATCACATTCACCTTTAATCGATTAAAGACAATCACAAGCGCGCACCTCAATATTGGCCTAGCCAAAATGTGACTTCGGGCATGAATTGATGCCTAAGAAAGGGGACATGCTGAACCGCAAACAGCACGGGTAAGGTACACCTAGCCGCATTAGTTACAGATGGTTACACACAGATAGACTTAAATTCTGGCAATAAACTTGCGCTCAGTCACTTATAGCTTTAACCTACGGGCTTGCAAATAGGCGAATGGTAAACAGCTCGGCTCTTTTTATGGTAAGATCATTCTTTTTAGTACCGGGTAAAAAGCTACAAAGTACGTTTTATTCGAAATTGCAGTTCTTTACTTTAGGATAACAGCTTCACACATTAACGTACATGCTTGAAGGTATGTCAGAGTAGTCAAATTAGTGGTTAACGACTTAGATGCTGAATGTTTATCAGCTCCAATAACCCCAGCTGCAGGAATTAGCTTGTACGGACATGAACGATTGAAAGGCAAGAAAGATACATTCGGCGCAATAAAATTTGGTTAATCCTTTAGCTCCAGCGCAGTTTAATATATTATCTTATGCTAGCTATATGAATGCCGAGCACGATGACATCCCGATTGTGGGAGTGTTGTAATTCTAGTCTGTAAACCACCCCCGATACAAGGGGGATCCCTTTGCGAGAATTCAAGCACAAAAATGCTTGTATGTTGGCTTTAGTCCAATCACTACCTCTGCGTCCAATTTTACTTTTCAAATTTGCTGCTTGTAAAGCCAACTGTATCAAATTAAGCGGTGTAACGATATCTGTGGTAGCAATTGTGGTTCAAAATTACATAAGAGCGCGCCACTTACAATTCATCGAGGCGAGAAATGCCGCCCTATTATACGCGTTCGCGATCGCGCGGATGCATCATATTTTGTATACCTATTGAATGTGTAACTATGATGTCTTCAAAAGCTATGTCTTCCTCAGTGTGTAACGCTAACAGCAGAAGAAAGTACTGGAGTAGGGTATTAGTCTGTTTAGTATTGAAATCACCATTACGAGCTTTTAAAGATCAAGAGGGAAGATAGTAATGGTAAATTTAGTAAAGGGATCTACGGTTAATGGAGTCGGGCGTGCTTCAAAATCACGTTTTCGTTACTTCTGAGTTTGTTCTAAGAGCCTTTTAAAATTCCCAGCCGTGTAGCATTTGCTTTGATTAAATTGCATATCTTGGATACATTCGAGCTGAGTATATTGCATAGCGATTCGGCCGCAAATTGCTTGATGTTAAGTACCTAAAGGGAATATTCATTTCATAAACACAACGCTTTGATATAAAATAGCCAACGCAACTAAACCTACATGATATCAAGCGACACAAAATCAAAGCAGATTGTTTAGCACTGAACTCACAAATTAAATTCTGGGTCCAAAAAAATGACGTATATGTCGGAATAGAAATCTGGGACCTTTTTAACGGTGAGCATATAAAGGTTCGGAAGCTTTAAGAGATATGACAATGATGGGGTTTGTCAAGGTGATATATGGAAACAGAATTGAATCGTTGTGTCAAAAGGCGTGAAAACGTGAGTATGAGAGCTAATGCTTTGTATATGGTAGTATGCAGATTTATATTAGGCGATAAAACGGGAGAAATACTTTAAGTTCTAACAAGGGTAAAATATAAATGATCATGGTATTTACGAGATGTGGTATACCAAATGAATTGGGATGGTAAGAACTGACAGTAGTAAAAATCGGCCGTGAAGAACATTGTTCAACGATAACCAGTTGAAGATTTTTTTAACGATACTTTAACCGTAACGATGATGCAACTACAGAAAAGCTGAAAACAGCTAAAAATTATCAAGTCACGATTTAGCATATGAGAAAGAAAGAACTGTGTCCCCTAGATTTTTCTCATTTGACAGAGACAAAAGACCCAAATCGAGAATGTGTGCGCTTCTACTTGGCATTCTTAGGCGCAAGCTGAATCATGCAATAAGGATCGAGCTACCCGCCTCTTAGTGACCGAGCTCCAGGAATTGATGTTTCTGCTATCGAAGATCAAACCTAAAAAACTGCAAGCTTTCAGCTTTCGCTCAAAGAATAGCAATTTAAAGTATGCGGTTGGGCATAAGGAAAAGATAGCAAAGCAGGGAGACATATTGTCACTGTTCACGAGTAGCAATACGAGATGCATGTGCTATAGTCGTTGTGCAATTCACGATGCGCGCGTTTGTTTCGAATGGGCCACCGCTCTTCATTCACCCCGGAATAATTGTGGTTAAGCCGATTAAAATCAAGAGGGTAAAATCTCGGCTCCTGGCTAATACCGAAGCGGTAATGAGCTGACACATTGAGAGAACGATGACCGTTAACGCACACGTCACCGTTTAGTGACTTAAAAACAGAGCCCAATCCATCGGTAATGTCCAAGACTCTGGGAAGAAGATGCACGTGATCTGGGGGTCGCAATCCAGCGTGGGTCATCTGATTGGAAGAATTGCAGTTCCATTCGGAAGGTAGGCGACACATGCCAGCATGTCGTGGCCTACGGGATAGGTATCGTCACCGTTTTAGTCTTTGGTTGGTAGACCATAAACAAAGCTCAAATTGCACATAAATAAGTTTGTGTCGTTCTTCATCCGTTTCAAATGTTTGGCCTTAAGTCGTCAGGGAACTTCGGCACTACGAACTGAAGGATCACTCATGAAGCTTTTTGGCCAAAATTACAAGAACTCTCGAAACCTTTTGACTGCGATCGGATGCAAGCAACCTTACTTGATGGAGTGCAAGATCTCAAGACAGCTCAAGTGGTCAAAAGGCATACGACTTGGTAGACCAATTTTGCCACAGGTCGATCAAGGCTGATCGCGGAGACTATGGAAAAACACCAACCTGAAACACGCGAT